AATGGATTAATATACCATAGATTCACATTTGTGCATTATGCGACCTCGGAAAATTCATAAATTGAACATTATCAATGTAAATGAATTAGTAGGACATAAAAATTTTTTAGTGTACTTAAGAGTTCCTATTACGGTTCACTTAAGGAAATCTTACACCTTTCTGATTTTTTTTGCGCCCACAGATCGCTTCAGCAAACCTCTCATGAGCGCTTTCCACAGTTATATTCTTCTCAATAACCTTTAGCCCCACTGCTGATCTTTTGAATCAGAAAAGGTTTCATTTCTGGATCATTTCAGCAAACCTTTTATGAGCGCCTTCCACTGTTATATTCTTCTCAACTACCTTTAGCCCCACTGCTGATCTTTTGAATCAAAAGAGGTTTCATATCAGGATCGTTTTAGCAAACCTCTCATGAGCGCCTTCCACTATTATTCTATTATATTCTTCTCAACTACCTTTAGCTCCACTGCTGATCTTTTGAATCAGAAAAGGTTTCATTTCAGGATCATTTCAGCAAACCTCTTATGAGCGCCTTCAACTGTTATATTCTTCTCAACTACCTTTAGCTCCACTGCTGCTCTTTTCAATCAAATAAAGCTTTAATGATAATGGATATTTCATGAAGTTATGGTTTCGTCAAAGCATTATTGACTAGCGATGTCCTTTTGAAAGAGAAATGCTTGTGAAAATATAAATCACATTTCCGAAGTTTGTGTCACAGTGAGGGGTCGAATTTTTGTGATGGAATAAATTAAATTTATAAAATGAATTATGCAGCTGAAGGATAATTGCATATTTTCATGTCAAAGATAATTTCTTTCCTTTGACGGATTCTTTGTTTGCTCTCCAGTGGAATGCGAGCCATTCCAATTAGCCACAAATGCTGAAAAATATTTTTAATTGAATGAGCTTTCCTTCCTTCTTCTTCCCAGGCAAATAATTAAAATTTATGAGCACTTTATACTCATGAACTGCTTCATAAAGCACAATAAACAAAATGAGCAAACAAGCAAAAACAATAACAACAACAATAATAATAACAACAACAACACTAACAATGGCAGCAACAATTTACTCATTGTGCTGAATTCTCGCTTATTTTATGCGTAAAAGATGCGTTATGTGCATATGCTTTTGTGCATTGCTTTGTCTACCGTAAATGTATGTGTGTGTGTGTGTGTGTGTGTGTGTGTGTGTGAGCGTGGAATTTAAAGCAAATTAAGTGCATATGTATGTGTGTTAATGTAAAGCGCGTGGACTTGCGTGCCTTTAGCGTTGGAATGCCAATTAATTTAATTCATATTATAAAAAAGAATATGCAATTAACGCTCAATTCAGAAGTGCAACATTATGAAATATGCTCGGAATTTCAATATCTTGAATTTAATATTCATACACGCACACAAACAAACTCACAAACAAACACGCAAACAATCCCAGTAAACAATTTGAACCTAAATATTGCCTAAATATTATAAGTGGAAAGCAGAAGAATTGATGCATGTCTTCGAGTTCTTCTTCAAATACATTCTCTATTCAAAAGTCTGAAATCTATATTCAATATTATTTAGGTGAAGAAACAAAAACTCTTCCTCTTACTATTCTTTTTTATCACTACCTGGTAATCGTCACATGGTGTGTCTAGCCCATATCTTTAATTTCTGTCATAGAGGAAATTGACTTTTCCAGTTCAAAATAGGAATATACAGAAGTATTATTATACAGGAGTATTATATTTAAATTCTTTTAAGTAGATAATGATCCCAAAATTTTGTTACAATAATGGATACATTTTTTAAAGCTTAAATAAGTCATATCTGTTATAAAATAGGCTGCTATTGGTCTATGTTCACGATCAGTAGAACTTGGTGAGAGAAAAAAGAAACCATGCATGTTTCCAACTTGATCTAAAGGGTTTATAGCGAGTCAATCTTTCAATATCGAGTAATTTCCGAAATGTGTCCAAATCAAGTTTTATTTCATACAAATCTAAAAAAATTTGGATCCCAATCCATTTGTTTTTAGTTACAAGTACTAATGCTCGTATTTTGCTTACTCAGGTTTCAGTTTCCTTCTCTGGTTATCTCTGCGTTATCTTTAATAATAGTTTTAAGAGCTTAAAATTTAAAAAAAAAATTTTTTTTAATGATCGGCTAATAAAATTCATACATATATGGCCACTTTTGTGTTAACACTCATTTTTGTGTTAAATGAGTGTTCATATTTGAATTAGGTCCCAAAATACTAGTTCATGCACCTAATACCTTGGTTTTATTCTTATCTCTGAATTATTCGCAAGTGTGATCTTTGATTCAAAATTCTTAGTTTACGTATCTACCATAAGTCAGTTGTCTTCATCATATTTTAATTTATATCTTTGTTCATATAAAGTATTAAGCCCAATTTTAGATTGTCGTTTGAGTTATCGTTCTCTACGGCAATTGATTTGGTAATATCTAATACCGAGCTGATTTCATTACAAGGTGTTTATTAAGCATATAAAGTATATTAAACAATATACTTTTGCAGTTAATACTGCAAATCACTTCGAAATATATGATTTCATCGCAAGTTGTGCATTCAGTCTCACTTAACATTGACAAATCACTTCACTTATTTTATTTGTGTTCACACGGCAAATCTAGTTTAATGTATAACTTTCTTTTTAATGCAGTGTAAAGATTTGAGAATTGCTTATAGGGATGCAGGGCCAGTTCAGTGGCAATAAATAAACGTGCTCATATGTGTAAAAATAAATTTTTTAATGAAGTTCATTTAAAGTACAAAATTACGTTTCGGCATGTTTGCTAGAGCGGAATTTCTTTTAATAAGTTTTAAATTCGAAAATTAAAGAAGTGTTGAGGGCCTTCGAGCTTCATTTTCGATGTCCAACAAACCATTTATTGTTTGCATTTATTGCATAAACGGCAATATTAAATTTTAAATGAATTTTAAATGACAAAATATTTACAGAAATTGAAGGAAGGAAATAATACAAAACCGATTAATATATTTCAATGGAATTTCCGAAGAAATATTTGTTAAGTAAAATATTTATGCTGTCTTCATTTATTTATGGTATATATGTATTTATATACATATAGGTATATTAATCAGTCAATATATGTATTATATATTATATACGTATGTATATTTGAGTGAAATAAAATAGAATAGAAATAGAATAGTGGAATAGAATACTTCTAAAATAATGCGATCGTCCCTATCTTTTAATTAAATGTACACAAACTTTTTTCCCTTTTGGCTAAACAATATTTGTTTATTAGGAAGGAATCTGTATATATAACAGTGCATTCAATAAATATATGTACCTGATATTGTCTGTATTTTCTCCCCCAAATTACAAATACCGTTGCAAGTCTATTGTATTCTCAAGTCACAACAACTTTGATGAGATTTATGATAATACGACATCATATAGATTATTAAGATTATTTTAGACATTTAATCAGAACTATTGAATCGCTATGAAAGGGCTTAATGTTCGTTCAAGCCTTTTTACGAATTTCGATATTTTTTGAGAACGGGCCCTGAAACTGACTAATACTGTTTAACATGTCAGTCTTCAGTATGTTTAAATGTTTAATCTAAACTATATATAGATATATATGTACAAATACATAATGATGGTTTATTTCTGATATAATTGAATGAGTCATTTTATTATTCACTTGGATAAAGTATTTCAGTGACACAGAAAAAAGGTCCAATATAAATATGTTTTTATTTAGTGGAAGTGGAAGCGTATTCAAAAATTTATCCATATGGGAATAAATACCTTGCATTGAGAAATATTGAGAATTTTTACTTATAATATTTTATTTAGATTTAGTTTTAAATTTTAATGAGAAAAAAAATTTTCAGGATGGCGCTTTTTTTTGAATTTTTTTTTTTCTTCCGTAAAACACATCAAGAACTTGCGTATTTCATATCCGATGAATGAATTCTAAAAGAATATATTACAAAATATCTTATATATTATTTTTGATTTTGATTAGTAATAAAATGGCACAAAAACTCTAAAAATTTCAGGAAGGGTTTGTTCTTAGAAGTATTTTTTAAAAATTAATTAATATAATTTTTATAATTATAATTTTTCAGTATATAAAAGTGGAACATAGAAACCTTTTTATTTTTAATTTTGATTTGAATTAACCATTAACTTTTACTTAAAAAGTAAATATTTTCAGAGAGGTATTCCCTTTAGAAGTAATTAAAAACAATTTATTTATCAGGCATCCTAAATGTCACTCATACGCACCTTGGTACCACAATACCATTAAATCAATTTTCCATATAAAATGACACAAAATTATTACTTTTTATTTCTGAATTGAGTTTGTCATTAAATTTTATATATGAAATTTTTATATTTAACATTATATTTAACATAACATATTTATAAAATATTTATATATTTAAAATTTCTAATATTCCTCCTCGAGTATATATGTTTGGCGTGAGGTGAAAAATATTCTCAAAACCCCATGGGTTCATATTTCACAGGAAAAAATTTTAAACATTTTTCCCGAGATACGGATCTTGGTACTATATGTTCCAGCGATTTCTTAGAACATGAATTGTAGACTTATTAAAAAGTTGTAATTGGTTTGTCTGAGACCCATGTCTTGCAATTCATATATCTCACAATATATCACAACAATGAAACAGCTCATTTTAAAACTTTAAGGCAGCTATTTACATCATTAACGACCTCTGCACTTATCAACAGCGGTGCCAAGATATCTTTTATAAGCCTTTGTATTCTTATTTATATTTATATTTACCAGTAGTAAACTAAAAACTGCCAAAAATTTTGATCAAGTTTACTTTATTAAAAAAGTCAATTTTTTATCTTGTATTAGATAAAAAAAATCATCACATTAAAATATATATTGACCGGAAGAGAATTCACATAAAATCGTAGGTTAGAAGTCCTTTCTCTAAAAAATTTTGCTTAAAATTAAAATTTACTTCATCTTCTTATTTTTGTCTCACATGCCCTGCTGTCCTTTCATTCCTCCTTTATGCATACGTCCAGAACCTTTACCAAAATTAAGAAGCTTATTAAATATTGAAATCACCTCACTTCTATTGTTTAAGTTTATTTCTCCTAACATTAGCTTAGCAATTACCGCTTCCATGACAAAAGGCATACGCTGTTCATCTCCTAACTTTTTGTAGAATACGTGTTTCAATTTATTGATTCTGCGCTTTGTCAATTTTTTACCACCGGCGATGCTATACTTAAAATTATCAAAAGGCTTGACGCTCAACTTCTGATTTGCCATTGAGGCCCATATATATGGCAATTTTTCCAGTTTGTCCATTTGTCGCCACACCGAATTTGCAAACACCCTATCATTCCGCATTGCCCGCCATAGATACAATGCACGGTGAGCTATCTTCATCTTTCGTTGGAATTGGGTTGTGGAAACCGAGGATCCTGATGATGCTGTGGAACACATTGATCCTTCGGGTATGATGTGACTTTGAACCACATGCCTTGAACTTGGCCCAGGAGTGTCGTCATCGGTCACGTTATTGCCCGCAGTATCATCGTCACTAGTAGACAAATTTATACCAGTGCTTGTATCTTCAGCAGCGGTAAGTTGATTAGTAGGACGGAAGCATAATTCACACACTTTGTCAAAGATGACAAACGGGGTGCGAAGTAGCAAGGGGAACGTTGGTTGTATCGTTTCTATATAACGGCCAAAAGTCCTAAATATTTTCTTGACACCACTTGGATACATTTTTGTAATTTTGTATATAGTAACGATATCAGGAAAGAGAGCAAACTAAACGGAAACAATTTCGCTTACGATTTTAAAATTTTTGATTTGATTTGGGAATGTAAAAATTTTTTTATTCAAATTCGGGCCTACGCCTACTACTTGCAAGAAAATAATAGATCAATGATGAAAATTTGTTTAGATTTAAATAAGTAGTGCAGTATAGTACAATAGAGCCCTTAAGTAACAAGACCATCATTCTTCACTCTTTTTATGTTTTTGACTTTGAATGATTTCACGGTTTTTCTGCAACACTACTCCAATTCCCTATTTCGATTAATCTTATAGTTTCTTCAATAAAATTTTTTTTGTTTTAACTTCTTATACGGGAATACCCAGTGATAATCATCGCCTTAGGAAGTATTACAATTTGTGCATAGTGTAGTGCTACAATTAAATAGAAGGAAACAGCTAGACTGTATTAAAAACGATTATTGTGTTATATTTTGGAATCTACTCGGCAAATCAGAAGTTACGAAGCGAATTAGTCCACAAATCTCATAAGTATCCCTCGTTAGTACTTTGGCAAAGGGGGTTAGGGTGAACTGCCAGTCGTGAGTAATAGTAGCTGCTTATTTGCTGTGTTAACTCATACACTTCAGAGATACCAAGATCATGATGCAGGATGTAATTCGAAATATACGATAGGGTGTCAGCGCAGATATATAGCGCTGACTTCGGTACTGTATCCCAGATGGGTATACCGTATTTTGTATCTATAATTTGGACTTGGGATTCAGTAGCCAGTATAGGGAGTGCGGCTTTAGTCCTAATTGCTTCCGTTTCGTAAAGATGTGGTGACGTGATTAAGACGTCGGTCAAAATATACACCTAGATATTTAGCGTTTTCAGCTTGCAGTAATTCACGGTTATTTAATCTAGGGAAAGGGCAGGTAGCGTGGTGGAGTGTAAAAGTTATTTGGACTGATTTGTTATCGTTAACTTCCATGTGCCAAATATCTAGCCATGTGTTGACTTCGTTCAGGTTAGTTTGCAACAGTTGTGAGGCTACTATAGGATCTACGTATTTCGCCATCACTAAAGTATCATCCGCAAATGTTTCAGTACTGAGTGGGAAATCTACTGTAAACAGAGTATATAGAGTATTGTTCAATAAATTTCCTTGGGGAACTCCAGCCTCTATCGGAAATAGTTCAGTGTGACAGATATTCATTTTAACTATGAAATGTCGATCTAGTATGTATGAAGACGGAGAAGTAGTTATGAGAGAGTTGTTTAGAAAGAATTCACTTTCTCTGCCATATATTTTCTAATTATCATGTAGTGAAGTATTATACACGATTGGCATAGCGATAGCAGAGAGGGTTGGAAAATGATTGTATAATGTTTTGGCCAAAGGGGCACAAAAATTCTCCAAGCATAGCGGAGCTTTTCCGGAAATTAAAATTTCTTACATCAATTCTGTTAACTTTGAACCTTAGACCTGTGTGTTCACACTCAAATCAATCCACCGAATACTTAATTTGCGTTATTCAATTTTGGAATCTAATCAATTCTGTTGTTAATTTATAGAATGTCTCTAAAACATAAAACATTTAATTTGAAGAATTAAGTAAGTCCCTCAAGCAAGCATTGATGTAATTTATCCTCACTTGATATATTAAGTGCAGTTCCAAAGCACAAAAAGAAGCAGATATATCATAGATTTCAACCACATTGTGCGAAAGGCAAGTAGATACTTACTTACAATCGCATATCTGCTTTATTTCTACTTGAGGAATAAGCGTGGAGCAAAAGGGTTAATGTTTTTCTTTATACTCCCTAATTCGCTGAAGTTTTGCCAGCGGTTAATAGAATTTAGTATCGCAATCAGTGTTCACTAATTTTTGTTGTGATAAGTGTTTCTGTTGTTGTTGTCGTAGTTGTAGTTGTAGTTGTAACATTTGTTTAAGTTGAATTTATATTTCGGCGGAGGGCAAAAGTGTTAATTAAAAATATTTCCGTGCAGAGACAAAAGCAATAAATTTGCACGTTTACGTGGCCGACTAATGGCCGGGATTCGTGTTCTTCGGTGTTTATTTCAATTTCAATTGCGATTCACAAAGAAATCGTAGAGCCAAGCATGCATGTCACGATGAAGTGCACATGCGGTGCACTAAGCAAGGAGTAGTGTGTGGTTGTCAGTGTTCGTGCACCGCACACCAGTCGCAGTAATGCAGTGGGGCTTCCCGTTGATTGGAGGTGCTGATTTCAGACGAACAATTGCCGCCTTCACTGAACACACCGCACTCTCTGCACTTACTGCACTCACTGCAGTCACCGCACTTGCAGTTAAAGTTGAAGTTGCTTGAATTCAATTTAAGCACTGAACCAAAGTGAAAGTAAGTACAAACTAAAGGGTATGTGTGTATGTGCTAGTGTGTATGCGCGTAAGTGAATATATGTCAGTGTTGTTGCTTACTCATTGCTATTTTGCGTTGAGGGAAAAGTCATGTCTTGACATGTTGCAATTCATTCCAACCACATCACTGCTTACATGTGTGGACAACATACATGAGGTGTTTCTGCATGAGAACTGCTGGCGATAGAATCTATTAGCGCTGTTGTAGTACTACAATGAGTGAGAGTTCATTTTGCTAGCGATTGTCTTAGCCGTGATTTGAAGTGTTTGAAGTATAGAACTAATGTTAGTGAGCAATACTAACTATCTTAAGTGTATACTTTTATAAATGAGACACTGTGTCCGAGACTGCCTTATACAGACGCTTCTATAAAAAAAATTCAAAAAATAATTTCAGAGAAATGAATAAATGGTGTTTGCAAAAAGATGTTACCCAATAAATATGGTATAAGGTGTACGTATAATATATTGCAGACCAGTAAACAAGATATATATTTTTTTTTTAATTGGTTTTGTTTAGAGATTTTTATTTGAATTTCTTTTGGAAGAACTTGCGAGATTAAGTTCTCCTTTTTTTGACAAAGGTGTGGTTCCATACAGTCACAACAAAGGGTTAGGAGAAGAGTGAAAAATACCACTCAACTTGTTGTCACTATATAGTATTTACCGGAAATATATCATCATCACTGGATGGATCTTCCTTTCTCACAATCTCTTTCTCATTTTTCCAACAAAGGCACTAAATATTATATATGATTCGTTTTGATTTATATTGTACCTGCAAATTGCTTACTGGTTTCAGCATCCTGGAGATCATCAACTTTTCTTTGCAAAGATTTGTAAACCTGTGTACATATGAGCTCCTCTGTTAAAACGAAGTAAAAGTGATATGAACCTGTATGCCAACTGTATCATATCATCAACATTATCATGTTTTTTTTATTGGGTAGTATTAAAAGTATACGTCCCTTCTTGATAAATGTCATACAAAAGTGCTCTATTTTAAAAATTAGTTTTAATAAAGTATATATCGATTATTAATGTTCATCATGTTTTTCGGATAGGTGCATAATTCCATTTCTGCAGAACTTCTGCGGCTTTTATTGGCGAAAAACTTGGCGAAGTGATTTTAGTGGCACTTTGAATGATCAACTTTTTACTATAAGGAGTTAGTGCAAGATACGAGCTATACAGCGGATGTATCAAAACTTTCTTACAAAGTTTAACTGTTTGCTTGAAGTCATCAAACATGTATGTTGTCTAGCTTTGTCCTGTTGGATTATAACTTATTTTCTGTTAGTCAATATTGGTCGTTTTTCCTTGATTGGTACCTTTAAGCCATCGGGTTATGAGCAGTGGCATTTCGTAACAGAGAACTCGCTTACAATTCCAAGAAACAATTAATATAACTTTGTTTGCCTCCGATCCATACTTTGAAGTTATTTTAGAAGCTAACTCGCTTTTGGCCATGATTGCTTGCATTAGACAATATTTATTCTATTGTCATCACCCATAATGATTCGCATAAAAAATAGATTGATTTAGTTGCAATTCAGCAGTATTTCAACACTTCACGGCGATTCGGTCATGAAATTTCTTTATGTCAATTTGACATCCTTTTACCCTAAATGACATCCTTTAAACACGTGTTCGTTTGACATAATCACATTAGTATTGTCAGATATATTGGTGCTAACACCATCTAATGACAAAAACGGCGAATACTTTTATATCACCTAACATGATATAAAGCATCACATTAAATTATATACATATTAAATAATATATACATAAGAGTATTTCAAATATTATATAAAAATTGTAAAATAATGTAAATCATCCGTTGTGCTCATTTTAATGATAAAGTTCATTATAAGATATATATAAAGCTATATATAAAGTTGATTTAATTATAAATGATAAAAACATGTAATGTTGGCAAAGGAATAAATTTTCTTTATTTAAAAGACGTATCGCATCGAAGATCCACTTATTCTGTAAGGGCATGCGGATTTTATTTATTATAAACTGAGAAAATTAAATCTATTTAAATTTAATGGACGGGGTGAATCTTTAGCTAATGAGAGATATGAGTTTGTTAATTATATCACAACTGGAAGTGAGGGACATGTACATACTAGCGACTTTAAGTAGGTGTGAACACCTGTATATCGACGTTTATTCGATGGAACACTATAATCATGATATTTTCGTATACTTCTTTCGATACTTCGTTAAAACTGAAATGACATTGGGTGGATGTCAAGACAGCTAGAAGTGTTTATTGGTTCCATGTGCTAAGTTTTGTCTTTAGCAACTGCTCTCAGCATAAAATCTGAGTTTAAGTTTTGATGGAAAATTTCTGTTTTTGCTTGAGTGGGGATTATTTTAAAAGCGTCTTTATAATTCCGTGTGGCTCACTGCATTAAAATCAACAAGGATGTACAGTCAACAGCAACCACTATAACTTTAGCAACGGTTTGAGGGAAAGAAGGAAAGAGAATAGCAACAACTACAAGTACAGCTAACCATCAACAGACGAAAATTTGTTAACATCAAAGAGTAAATTCGTGCGGAAATATCGTACGCGACCAGAATTTCGAGGAAGCCAGAAAGGTAATATCGTCTTTACACTTTAATAAAAGTAAATAAACAAA